TCCACCATCTCTCTACTTATATGGTGAATTCTTTGGTTATGCTGATGCTGGATTATTGTCAACATTAGTTATGGTTTTAATGAGTGATATTCAATCTGTTGTTAAATGGCGTTTATTTGCTTCATATCGTGTTTGACCTGTTTGTCTCTTCCTAGTTCTGTTGCCAAATTTGATTTTGTGTTGACCAGCCTATTTTTTTAGGGTAACTTGCCATTTACTGGCATGCCCCTGTCCATGCCTATGTTTTATATCTCAATTCATGTTAAAAAATGTGTTTCTTAGTTTCTGCGGTTTATTGTGTGGTTGTTTTGGGTCACGGGATTAAATTAGGTTGGTCCTACTCGAATGGGAGATAGGGCCTTTATTTTTGTAAACAGTACTGAAGAATTTAAAATTAAATTTAGTCCCTTTCCTTAAACTCAAGCAAAGCCCATGTCAACCATCTAAGTCAAAAATATTCCAGCCCTTTCATATTGTCCCCGTACCACACTACCCTAAATTTGCCCGTTGGATAACTTCAAAACATGCAATTCCACCCTTTAGTACAGTCCATACTGTCAACAAAAACACCCCCAGATTATTAATCATTACCCACAAATATATCAGTCTCAGATTTTTTATATCCGCTTTAAACAACTGAAGATGTTTGTTTTTGTCTTTTTGTAGTGGTTCTTGTGGTGTACACAGTTCATTTCTATTGAAATAGTGTGGCATCCTCCTTCCTCCTAGGTGTTTTCCCATTTCATTTCATTTCTCAGTAATCAAGTTAATAAATGTCCACTTCAAGCTATTATTTGTTGCAGATTTTGTATGAAGTGTAGATATTATTAATAATCTCATTTCAACTGAAATGGAGGTGCATTGTGGGCAGTTCCTGTAAGCACATTGTTGTGGTTCAAGGGGCTTAGATTAAGAGAAGAACGGAAATGAGAAGTCCACGCAGTTTTACTTCTCGCTAAAAATGTCAAGACTTACATCATGCTGTCTCAAGCAAATCATATCTATCTTGTACAGTCGCTTCCCTTTCATGTTTGTTGAGTTGCGAAAGTTTATATTTTTTTAGCTTTGTTTGATGACTGAGTACAAATATACTTAGATTTACTTTTATTTTATGGGGCGACATGTATGTAGGTATTATTTTCTGTGGTGAGAAAGAACTGAAATCCGGGGGTTCGGGACAAGATGGGAAAGTTGGTTTTTTCCTCAGTGAAAGGGCTATACTGTGTCATTGTTCCTAGTTTGTGGAATGAAACGAATCAATCACCTGAAATTTCTTAGCTCTTGGAAGAAACTGGTATCATGTATTGATGTTGGCTAGAATCTTTTTTTGTGTTCGCATACATTGGTGTTGAAATAAAATTGGTTCATTTAGGTCTTTGTGTTGTAAACTTATGCTGATTTTTGTGTTATGGCAGAAGGGTTCGGCTGAGATTCGGTTTGTGACTGTCTCTATGTCCTGTCTTTGTCTTGTGCTACATATGTGCCCCAACTCAATTTGCAGGTTGCTACGCAAAACAGGGAATCCAGCTGGTTTTGGTGTCCTTTTGGAGCAGTGGTTTGGCCTTCTCCTGGGGAATGAATCCACTTTTGGATGACAAAATTTCCCTCCAGATGTTCAGCCCGAATTTCAGGCTGACTATGAGAGGACTCCAGTCTTGTTGCGACATTCACTTTGTCTACACGGCTGAAAATGGCACCCTAACGAAAGTTGGTGTTCGTTGGGATGTTGTAACGGATGTGGCCCGGACATTTTTATCATGTGGCCATACGTTAATATGTAACTGCCCCTTGGCTATGAGTCCCGATACAGAGACCGGCAGACAAATGATTTGGAAATTGAGCACCGACTAGTACTCTTATCATGACGTGATGGGTTCAAATAAAGCCTACCACCATGGTTATTCTGCGGAATCTCGGTGAGTTTTTAGTTGCGATGTGAATCAGTTCGTTCAAGGGCAATATGGTGCTATGGGGTTATCATACAAGCAATGCTTGAGGAATCTAATTTTTTAGTGGCTGCCTAGAATGCTGCCTGGTTTGTGAATTGGCATGAGGTATTAGTCTCTAGTTTCTGTAAATAATCTCTTATCTACAATCTTTTGAAATATCAAGCTGTTATTGATATACAAACAAATAGAAGATGTAGTGTTGAAGTTTAAGTTTTTTTCTGGTGTGTAACCTACTAAAAATGAATTTTCTTTTTTGAATGAAGTGTTGTATGTCTTGCTCTTAATTGCGTGTACAGGTAAAAATTCACCTGCTCTCACCTTAACCAACCTAAAAGAGGTGGTGGGACAAGTGGTATCAGCCATGACATCCAATAAAAGGCAAATCATATACTTCTTGCTTATCTTCTTTTCCAAGTTTTTTTGGAGCTTGGTTCATTGTTGAGGATCTTGTGTTTCTTCTGAAATCTACAAGATAGTCAACTACGTAAGCAGGTACGCGCACCTCGTGAGTTCTCCTGATATCATTCATGTACATGATGCGACAGGTGACTTTGCTCCTGCTTACTGGATTGTATGCACCTTTCTTTGTCTCCCCTAAGGTATTTTACTTTCTTTTCTGTTATCGCTATCTGTATACGAGTTCATTTCTTATAGTTTCTTACTATAAAAAATTTGTAAATCAATCTCTTTTTTGCGGGTAATTTGTAAATTTTTACTTTGACAGAAACCCAAGAATATGTTGAACATCCCCCATGGAGCATTATGGAATGCAGTACCCTCACAGCTTTTGTTTTACTGCTTTGTTATTATTCGAGTTACCATTTCATCTTCATACACTGTTTTCTGTGTATCATGATCGTTCGTTCTTTCGTCTTCGGCTTTCATTGGTGTCCTAAATATACCAATCTTACAGTATACAAATTCCCTGAGTTAAGTTAAAGAAATCTAAAATAAATGACCACCTCCTTCTTACACTCGGTTTATCCATTGGATAGAGGCATTCGCAGTCTGAGAACAATGATTAAATGCCAGCTCGATTGGAAAACCACGCCCCCACTTAACCAAATTCTGGTCTCTCATCTAATAAATTCTGAAAATCCTGTTGCGTGTCTATCTCAATCACCATTATATATTATTTACACCCCCTCTGCTTCTGCCTCTCCATTCTAGACGATTCACTTGTTCTACTTCTTTTTCCTCAGTTTTCTGTCCACTCTTCCTTTCTTTCCTTCTGCGGCAAACATCAGTTTTTATTTTTTTTATCTATAATATGACCAGGATTCCTGCAATCCTGGAGTTTCAGAATTAAACTCAATGAAAGCAAGACCTAATTACTCAAGTTAACATTGATTGAATTGTTAGAATAATTCTAATTGTTGCTGAAATTGTTGAACATTACTGATTATGTCAATTGCATATACGTGATAGAAACTCATGTTTAACTTCATGAAGCCGAACTGATTAACAAATACTACTGATGATCCATCGTCAAATCATGTCCCTTTCTTCTTTACTCTTAAGACCCATTGACTGCATCTTGCCTATGTGCAGCTCTTGTTCTTATTTTGTTGACACTCTTGTTTTTCTAGTGCTATGTAGATGTTTTTGATAATCATTCTCACAAACATTTGCTTTGTGCTGATAAATGATGAAATTTGGGTTTCAAAGCTAGTAGGAGCAACATATTTTATGATTGGCTGTGCTTGACTAGATTCAAGAGTCCTCTTTTAAGAGCTAGAAACACGTGATGTCAGTGCCAGCAATCATAGTCTCTTATTGGGGAGTAAAACCTTACATCTTTGAATTTGAATATATAAATTTCAAAAGCTCTGTTGGATCTGGCAGGGTGACTTGTAATTGTTGTATCGTTCAACACTTGGTTTAGTTCTTCTGTGAAAAATGTTTTTCACAAGTATTGGCTGGTACTGGATCTTGATTTAACAGTTGGAGCCTACTTCCAGTTATGATAGAATATGAAAACCTTACATCTTTGAATTTGAATATATAAATTTCAAAAGCTCTGTTGGATCTGGCAGGGTGACTTGTAATTGTTGTATCGTTCAACACTTGGTTTAGTTCTTCTGTGAAAAATGTTTTTCACAAGTATTGGCTGGTACTGGATCTTGATTTAACAGTTGGAGCCTACTTCCAGTTATGATAGGATATGAAAATGATGGTCAGCATGTATGTACAATCATTCTAGAAATGCTCTTATTTGTGCAAATTGAAATCTTAGCCCAAGTTTGTTTATTTATGCATGCCTTATTAATACTGAAGCAGCCTGCGAAACCAACATATAATTGCTGATGAAAATGAAAGAAAGCATTTTTTTTTTAATATATTTTATTTATTTATTGTTTATCTCTATCTTCATTTTCCTGAACTTATGTCTATATAGACTATTGCATTGTGGTAAAACACATTTGTAACCATATAAAGCTATATGTAACTTGTTCTAGTCGGCACTGCCCAATCCCACAGGACTATTGCTCTATTATTCTCCTTCCAGTCCATGTGGCTAGCAATAAGAATGGAACTAGAGGAAGGTAGCATTCATCTGAGTTAAAAGCCTTGAACTGGATAAGCTAAACGTGCATGGAAATTGGGCAGTGTAAAGAGGTGATTGATGCTTTCAATGTTCCTCTTGCACATCATACATATTAAAGAGATAAACTAGATTTAAGATTTCTTATCATTAGTTTTGATCTTTTTGTGAGCAGAAGACTAAGCTATGATTTGGACCTTTCTAGGAACTATTTCTCTATGTATCATTTTAAAGCATTAAATACTTGGATTTCTAGGGCATCAAGCAGACTGTTGGAATAAGACTTCTTTGAAAAACTTCCAGGCTTCTCAGCGATTCAAAATCCATGGTCTTCGTATATCCAAAACCTGCGTCACACGCATAGGCACATACTCCAATAAAAAGTGAACTGCAGAGATTGAATTTAAGTTGAATGTTAATGTATCCGTTTCCACAAACAGTGTAAACTAGTGCATGGACTTACTCCTTAAATCTTTTGCCTAACTGAGTGTGTAATTCTTCTTCTTCAGTACAGTCTCTCCAACGTATCTTAAAGAGACACTTTGCTCTGGATGGCTTGCAAGCACATTAATAAGAAATCGCGACAAGTGAGTTTTTCAATACATTTTGCTTATATGTATTTATATTTTTTTCAGTACTTGGATTTAAAATCTTAACATTCCTGTCAAGTGCATATGTTGGCAACATAATACAAGTTGTAGCTACTAGAACCATTAATCAGATGATTTCCTTATAGTTAATGACTGTTATAGCTTTGATATTGGTTCTTTTTCCTAATACATTGTAGTACCTCCATCTGTTATCAATTGAAAAATGTTAAATTGCCTGTACACCGTCTTACTGTCTATAGAATCTACTTTAGACATTTACTCCTTAGTATTGTTAAAATATCAACTGATCTTGTAGCATAATTTTTATGATTGTTATTAGTGTCTTTAGTAATTTCTACTGTTAAATTGGATATTTTTAGTTACCGAATTTTTATCAAATGTTAGGAATCATCATCGTATCGGCTATATTGTTTTATTTGAAAAATGAAAACAGAGATTCATGTATTACAGTATGGAATATTTAGGTCAGTGATAGGCCTAATGCATGTTCATGGTAGGAGTAGTTGTTTTAAAAGAATATTTAGTGGATTCTTTTTCGATAGTTAACCAAATGCCATAATGGATTCAGTGTCAGTGGAAGTTATTCCTGTCTTTAGTTCATTCCTTACACAATTCCTTGGTCTCAATTCCATTGCCACAACCAAACTCAACTTTAGCATTGGAAGGTCAAATCTTTCCAGTGAGGTGGCTTTAGTACTACTCTTCTCAAGTAACTAATCATGCAATGTCACTCACAGGTTGCTATACTCTCTTTAACTGGAAAGGAAAAAATGAAGGACTTTACAAGTTTTGGCGTTAAACTAATACCTTTCATTGGATATAATCTGTCTCATTATCCAAGCAATTTTTTCTGTTTGTTACTTTGGGTGGTATTCACAAATCAGAAACTATGTGACAATATGAAATTACAATTAGTGCTGTTTACTTTGTCAATCTACTGAAATTGGGAATTAATATAAGGTTTAACTTTGTTGGATTGCCTAATGCATGGCTAAGGCTGTGTTTTGTATTACAATGAGTAGTCGGCTTCCTTTTTTCACTCTTTTGCTGATTGCTTGATCATTCTCCTTCTTATATTTGACAATGTTGTGCTATGTTATCGTTTAGGTATTTCAGTATTCTAAATGGGATTGACACTGTGATCTGGAACCCTGCTACCGATGGTTTCTTACCTGCTAAGTTTCATGGTAACAATATTTTACTATCAGTCAGCATTAGTTTTCTAACTTATCTGAAAATCCTAGCAGATGCATCCTCCAAGCAAAAGTGAGACTAATTAAAAGTAGCAGACTTTGTAGTATACTTAAAATGGGGAGAAATTCCTGAGAAAGATCTTTTGCTTCTTTGTGTGTTATTTGTGTGTCCACATGAGAGAGAGAGAGAGAGAGAGAGAGAGAGAGAGAGAGAGAGAGAGCTCATTTGTGTTAGATACTAGATACAGACAGAGATTTCAGAGACAGGGAGAAGGGAGGAAGGATTAGGAATCAGATTTGACTGGGATTAGGGAGTTTTATTAGAGAAAGGAATGCTGTGAATTCATGAGAGGATGGGAGAGAGAGAGACAAATAAGATTTCTTTTGTCAGGAATTATATTGGATGAGAGATTGGGACTGATTATGACAGAAAGAAATGTTGTGAATTTAACAAAATGGGGGGAGAGAGTTCTCATGAAGCAATCAAATAGTATTTTAATTGTAGCTTGATTGTCAGAAAACTATTCCATAGGCCTTTTGCTATTGAATCTCATCTTCTGTAAACAATTTTTGTGAATATAGCCTGAAAATTATGTGAGCCATGGCTTTATAATCAACTTCTGCTGTAGACCTAGCTATCAGATTTTGTTTTGTATGAAAACCTAATTCTTACTAGGAACCATATAAACAGCTCGAAATAAGATATAATGCTTCCTGATGTTGCCGCCTACCATTACTAGCTGACCTTTCCTAAACAAAATGTAATGTCATTGTGTCTCATAGTCAAAACTCAGTTTATAGTCGGGTATTTTGTTTCACTGCTTAATTAAATAATTATTGAAATCAGGAGAAAACAAATCCTGATAGTATTTTATTCCAAACATATATCTTTGTATTTACAAAACTCTCCGTTATATAATTGAACTAAGACCCAAATAGATAACTCTTAGACTAGGATTAGGACTCTAGACTAATACTATCTCTTTTTATTTCAATCTCTTAAACTAGATAAGTCTTAGATAACTCCTAAATTGATAATATTCTAATCTAGAAATCCTATACTCCCTTTCAAGCTGGTGAATAGATATTTATCATTCCCAGCTTGGAAACTAGATTATCAAACAATTGTCTGGGCAGTCTTTTTGTAAGAATATCTGTTGTCTACTGACTTGTAGGCAAGTAGGTAACACACAATAGCTTATCTTCTATCTTCTCCTTGATGAAATGTCAATCTATTTCCACGTGCTTAATTTTATCATGATGCATCGGATTGTGTGCTATCCCAATTGTAGCCTTGTTGTCTGATGCGAACCCACCTAGATTCTTTTACCCAACCACACCAAAAATGATAAACACAAGAGTATATTCAAACAATTTCAAGGAAACATCAAGGTTCACAAGTCTGTATAACTGTATTGAGATGTTGAACATTTCATTCATTCAGGCCGGTTATATCTTAACACAAGAATAACAAGAAATTAATCAAAATAACAATGGAATACTAATATGCTGGACTTCGAGGGCCAGCTACCTCCATGCTGGACTTCGAGGGCTAGCTACCTCCCCTTCACTATATTCACTTTTCAGATACCCCTCTCTCAGCAATCTTCTGCTGCTCCTTTTATTCACTCCCTTCTCCTAACAGAATTCAACCATCCACCATTCTCCTTTCGCCACCTGTCCAGTCCACTTTTTCTTCTCTTCACACGTTAGTTGCCTTTTTATCACAGTTAATCCACTACTGCCCTTCCTACATTTCTTATTATAGACCAGTCACTAAGGGTTTCATCATTACCCTCCCCAAGCAGTATCACCTTGTCTTGGTAATGTTGTTTAGTTGTTCTTTGTTTTAATTGGATCTTGTATGATCAGAATTACTAACAGTTTTAGAAATTGTGTTCCAGTCTGAAACTGGTTCTATAAGTTCAGACATAAAAATACTCCTGGAGAAGTCAATGGATATGGGTCTGAAGATGAAGAATCCCAAGGTATGGTTTCTATTGGGGAAGTTTTGTATCCCAGAAAATTCTGCTGTTATCCTTAATCTTAATGGAGGCTGTGATGGTTGTCAAGGAGCCACATCCACTTCTGTTATTTTAATAAAATTAGTTTTGTCCTCAGAATTTTGTATCATATGTGTTCTGTATTGGAAATATTAACCCTTGCCTTCTATTATTAAAATATTTGTGCGTACCTTTTTCCCTTTTCTTGGTGTGTGTGGGGTGAACAAGGACGAACTCTGTGCCTATGAGTATCATTTTTGAGAATATGCTGCTCGTCAGATAGTTAATTAATTAAGTAACAGCATCAATAGTTCTACAAAAAGATCTTATGCTTTTGAAGTACTTTATTAAGCAAGATAATCAATGGGAAGGGGTTTTGGGTTAATTTTGTGCTATTGACTTTGATTTTTGAATTGTCCTGAGCTTTGTTTGAGCTTTTCATTCTGTTATATAGGTTTTTTTTTTTTTTTTTTTTTTTTTTTTTTTTTTTTTTTTTTTTTTTTTTTTTTTTTTTTTTTTTTT